TCAGCGAGCTTGCAGCACAAACCGCAAGAGACAGTGATAAGATTATACATATTGTTCTATGACTTCCTATAAAGACCAGAGAAAAACACCTGCATCACACGGAAAAGGGCACATTAGTCAATTTTGAACATACCGTAATTACCGAATTTGTGGCACCCCCCGCAATAAGCGCACCCCCCGTAATAAGCGCACCGCCGCATTCATGTTCGAAAAATAACCGCACCCCCCGAAATTACCGCACCCGGTGCGGTAATTAAATGTTAAGTCCAATAAACCGGTAATTACACCGCATTTTGTGTTTTAAAACGTATTTACTTAATCATATGTACTCGTAGCTGGGTCATGATCGAAACTTTAACGGGCCATATGTTCGAGTACAATCAAAGATGTAGCAATAAAAACTACCCAGTTACTACTGTGGAAGCACTTTATAGGTATCATACTCATATTGCTAGCTAGCCATATACTCGATAACTGAGGCGCTTATTTTCAATAGAGCACGATGCGCTATTGTTTCGAAAAATCATGGGACCCTCCGAAATTTACTGTTTTTGAAAAATAAGCGCCCCTTTTAAAATTTATTGTTCGAGAAATAAAGGCACCCCCCGAAATAAGCGCACCTCCCCGAAATAAGCGCACCTGCTCCATGGTATTCGAACTATTTGCCGCCCAGTGCGGCAAATTCGATAATTACGGTAATTTAAATTTAACAGACTGCAGAATGCACATTCATTTGCGTGCGCGTTTCCTAGTGAGTAGCGACCGATGTTGACGAGCCGACGCCCACGCTACCATTTATAATGACCAACCGGCGAGATACGTAGAATCCCAACAAATTGTACCCAAGAATCACACAACCACAGGAATCTATTTGCTTGAAAGCATTAACGTCCAGTAATTAATATTTATTACTGGAGTGTACATAAATTGGTGTTAAATGAAGAATCGTGAAATCAAGTCGAATACTGATGCTGTACAGCATTTTCCCTGGAGTTTCCACCTTACTTCAACTTGGCTGGAATTCACTGCAGGAGAAACACGGTGCGTAATATTCCGCTGTACAATACACCGTCGTCCGCTGTGTGGAACTGCTTCTAGGTCTAAGCAGGGCGCAATCCGAGGGAAACCGAGAAACGGCTGAAAAAGGCGCCGATGGGGGAATCTAGTCCCGGCTATGTCGTTAGATCCGCGTAGGCAGTACCACTGCACCACGGCGCAATACGTTGAAACCCTTCGAAAGATTTTGTCGCTGTACGTGAGCCGCTTCTCGCTTCACATGGGGATATTAGGCAGACGAATTGAAGGTGAGCTGCATATTATGCATTTCCACTGGTAAGCCTATTACTTACGTCCGCGAAATCTCGAAGCTGACTCAGCTTCAAAAGCTGGCGGACATAACAGGTTGACCTTGTACTGTGGATTCCTTCTGCATCAAGACGAATTGAAGAATGACGCTCGAAGGACGAAACGTACTGATGTGGAAGGCTTCCAACTTTCCTCCTTAAGAACGCATAGCCCCCTGAGCTACGCATTTATAATGCGCACAGTGAGAACCCAAAGGAGAAGGCATGTGTCGTTTTAGACTTGGGAGGGAGTCCCGAACGACGCACGCCTGCTCCTTTTGTAGGGTATCGTACTGAAGTGCAGTGAAATAATCACAATAACTGCTCCATTTCCAAACGGATTCCCCATAATAGCATCACTAATCTCAGGGAGACATAATACAGTATTATACTGCAAAAACCAATGCTACACTCGCCGCTGCCAAGATCTTCCGGATTTTAGGATGGTTAGGCACGAAATACACGATGGTGTCGGGATTAATATGAGCCGGAACGTCTCCTGTAAAATGCAAGCAAATGTATTCGTGGTTGTAAAAATATATACATGCCCAATAGCTTCAGTATTATAATCTACCGAGTTCTTGGCGTATAATTGCATTAGTGATACCAACAAAATAATGCTACGAATAAACTGCATATTTATGCTTTCGCTGATTAACATGTCATCCTACTGTCCTGTTTCCCTCACTGGGGACCGTGGACGAAGCGGATGAATGAATTTCCGTTTATGACTATGCACAGTATATTACGGTTTATACCGTTGTATCAGTTAAGTTATGAAATTAATAGAAGCTAGCAGTTATCAGGTAGAAGTAGTCCAGTCTAGTAGACTGAGTCTACTACGAATTCATGTAGTAGAAGCATGTCAAATTCTACTAAATGCCGAAGTAGTCAGTAGTTATTCGTCTGTTATTCGAGCCAGTGCTTGTTCTTCATGTTGCAGCAGCAAATGAATTCGGAATGATGGTTCCCAGCATTCCGACGGCTGTTAATTAGCAGCCCGTCCATCAGCCAGCAGAGTAAGTACGGTAGCCGTGCAGGTAGAGAATGATGAGTGCTGCAACATTCGCCATTTTCCAACTACACTGCTACCGTATTTCCGGTGTATATGTATATCCAAATCTGGTATGCTATTCGGGTATAATTCTGTTTTGAATGTCCGCTATAGTTCTTGTCCGATCAGCATTAAGAAGAGCCCCGCAGCAGGCCAGCCTTCGCCGCGTTCCGCGATGAACACGCCGGTCCGTTCCGCTTGCGTCCAACCACGCGGCGGGGCGCAAGCGGAACGGACCGGCGAAAGAATGTACTGTATCTCCACACACTTGTGCGGGAAGTAACCATGGCCCTTCCACATCCGGTGCGAAGCAGATCGACGCACCCTTTATTATTCGTGACACTGAGACCTCTTTTATTTGTATCTTCTTGTGCTGAGTTTGATGCACTGTATATTATGTATGTTGACTCCGTTCTCGTTGCTCATTAGTGTTAGAAAGCGATTTTCTTGTATGGACAGCAGTCCTCTGACGGATTTGAAAGGTACAGTATATATATGCCAACAAGATGTCGTTTTCGGCAGATCTTGCATCGCGGACCGTCTCATACCATCAAGTAATTGCAGCCTATCAGCGCGGGCTTGTTTGTTATGTTAATTGGCTATTGCCTGAATAAAAATTTCCACAGTGAAAAAAAAGTAATCGCATCCAAAAGCGAAACATGGCAGGCACAGTTATGTACAAGGGCAGTGCAACACAAAGGCCACAAAAGAATAATTTTTACAGCTGACAACTATTCCAGTCGATGGTTCGACAGAGGGGCGCAATGCGCATTGTGCACAGTTTTACTTTTACTTTTGCCGGTCACATATGTTAACAATATAGCACATATTATGTAACTTAACATCACTCCATTGCTAACCATATATGGTTAGCTTATATAAGTTAACCGAATAGCTACGAACTACTTAGCTTAGTTACTGAGTACATCTGATAATACAGTATAACCAAGATTGTTATTGAAATCAATCCGGCGCCGTGCCACAATTATACAGCATTCATCGGCGTTTCGGAAGTAAGCTCTCAAAAATCGATTAGAATTTCGAAGAATTGCGAGGAACTGGAATTCGTTTGAACCGGTATTGTAAACCGGCACACGATATTGCCGGTGTTGCACACCGACAGCTTAATGACGACTTTTGCTGACCGACTAAATGTGGACCCGACGATTTGTTGTAACGACAAATCCCTGAACGACCGTCTGCCGAACACCGACAAGTTGCTGACGACATTTTGTTGACTTGAAAAACCTAAGCTTAAGAAAAAGCGCTATTAACGTGAGAAAACTCAAAAACCAGCGTATCGAAAGGAATGGTGTCGTCGTCGATGTCGGCCGGACATCTCAGCAGTGCGTTGTGCCAGACTCCTCCATCAAGCAATGCGGTATTGCCAGCCCAGGCGAAGGCCAATCGGGGACTGCATGGACACGGGGCGCCCAGATATAGGAGTTCTACTGTTGTGACAAGCCGTGGAATATTTGATGTTCTTCGTGAATAAGGATAAGTGATAGTGCCGAATCGTGCCCGGCTTGGCTACTCAATAAACAATCGATCAATCACGTACCAGTGCTACCTGATATGTAATTATGACGTGTAGACCGGCGTTGTCAAGCAGTCCTGAAGAGCGGCGGAAGAGGAGCAGCCAGAATGACTTTGGCGGCGTGTGCTCTTTATTAATGCGTACACGTGTATCTACTCGTACTCTGTTTTAACTCCATATTCGCACAACTGTTTTTTCACAGAACGGACATATCACATACGTATGCCAACCATATGTACATCCCGAATGAGCCGGTCTACCCTACTGGAAACAAGGCGTTTTACCATGATGGCGGATGATTAGTGTATAGCTGGAATTATCCCGCGCTGTACTGCGTTGTCCCGTCAATCAGTAGGTCTACCGCGGTAGACGCACGGACCGACGGGGAAATGCAGCCCAGCCCTGAAAGAGGACGACAGCGTTCCGGCGGGTGCACTTGGTCGCCGTGTCGGTGCCCTGATGTACGACGGCGGCATGAGAGGCTCCGGTAAGTGTAGAGTGTATAGACCAACACCGGCACACCAGTAGTCAGTTAATGGATGGATAGGGTGTCGTCTATTAGCTGCTGGGCGGTCCGTTCAACATTCATCTGCTACTTGCCGTTCACAGCGGCAACGATTCTCCGCTTGACTGCTCCACTGCTTTTTGTACAGTTCGCCGGTGTGGTTCCGCAATCACAAGGGTGAAAAATTTAAATGTGGTAAAAACTGGAATTGTATTTTAAACGTACTGGTTCAATGCAGCGCATATTTCCTTACTGTGTATGATTCTAACGCGTTGCTGAGAGGTACAGCTATCTGTAGAAGTGCCGGCACACTGTGCGGAATGTTGTTTATGGGTTGGCAACCCATAAACAACATTCCGCACTATTTTACGAATTACAATACAAGACAGCACGTGAATACGAATGCGTGCAATAATAACAATATTAAGTTTGGAAATAATGCGTGGGAATGCCATGAGTGTGTTATGTACGGTCCCTTCTCGTGCTCATTTGAATGTATTTCTGTTAGCGATGCTCGTCTCCGTACATACTGCAAATAAAGTATATGTAATACAAGATGTATTGTATAAGTATTTTATTGACCCGTTGCACAAGCTAAACGCCATTTACACTTGAATCTGAGACACCAATTACAAGACATTAATACGATGTATTACAAGACGTCAACTGACTGTGTACAAAGTCCGGGTGGGAAAATCAGGCAAATGTTCAGATTGGAACTTCAAAAGAATTTATATTAGTGCGCACTTGTATCGGTACTATTCGCCAGCGTTGAATCATTTCGCTCAATTTCCCGCTTCCAGTTTCTAGTTCTATAGATACACACGTGTGCATATCGTCGACTATTCACTGAATAACAGAATTTCTGGAGACAGGCAAGGAATGCAAGCTAATTAAGAGTTGACGCTATCGCTGAGCTAAAACTCTGACGTTATGACTGTCGGTGTCGTTCTGGCAGTGAGCGGCATAAATCTGCCGCGCCGATTCCCGGATGGTCTCCACGGCCTCCGCGCCACAGTATGCCGCCATTTTGGCGCCGGCTGGACCGCTCACATCTTCGATTCCCGCCGCGTTAACGCTGCAGTAGAAACGCGGGAATATCAGCATAAATTAGACCTGTGCAGTTATTTTTAACTATTTAACTTAACGCTAGTTAGTTTTATTCGAGTTCTCCAGTTTGCTTAGAACCCAGTTTTCAGTAACGTATAACTCGACCGGAGCGTAGCGAAGGTCCTCTAATTCAGCGCCAATGCAAAATTGTCTCTGTGTCCGTTACGAAAGGTCATTTCAAAAATATTGCTGGCTGGTTATGTTGCTATGTTAAAATTGAGGATAATTTTAATGTTAAGGGCGCTACTGGTAGGCCGTTAAAAATTAATTATTTTGCTTAAAATTTTGTTTAACGACTGTTTGAAAAATAGTGTATTCCCCAGTGTCTGGAAAAAGTATTTTATAACCCCGATTGCAAAACAGGCTACTGATCAGACTAATCCTGCAAACTGGCGGCCCGTTGCGATGCTACATCCTTTGTCGAAATTGTTTGAGAAATGCATCTGCAAAATTCTGGAATCTCAAATTGGTGGTTTTACCGAAAGACAGTTTGCTTACCGCCCGAAGCATTCAACTGAGCTGCTTTTAATTTTATTTTGTCAGAACTTAGCTGATGCAGTAGCTCGCGGTAAGCGTGTCGATGTCGTTTTTCTGGACTGTAGCAAGGCTTTCGACAAAGTTGACCACTCAACTTTGTTAGAAAAACTATCTAAGCTTAAAGTTTCGTCCGATATTGTAGAACTGATTGGCAGCTACCTGTGTAATAGATTTCAGTCTGTTGTTGTGAATAACCATAAGTCAGCTTTCCTACCGGCAACCAGTGGAGTTCCACAGGGATCGCGCCTTGGTCCTGTAGCGTTTATCAGTTTGCTCAATGACCTTCCTGCTGTGTGTATTCATGGCAGTGAAATTCTGATATTTGCGGATGACGTGATGGCGTACAAAATTATTGAATCTGACCTAGATGAGATAGCGTTTCAGAAGGATCTGGATGCCGTTACCGAATGGGCTGGCATCCATCGTTTGACTTTTAATGCAAAGAAATCGGTATGTGTTAAGTTTTTGTCTCGTTCGAAGTCACCGCAGTCGTATCAGGTAAATGGAGAGAGCATACCGATAGTTGATTCAACGAAGTATTTGGGCATTTATCTTGAACGCAGTCATAAATGGAAGTTGCAATGTGAGAACGTGTCTAGCAGAATGCTGAAGCGGTTGAGGTATCTAAATACATTATTTCGTGCTCGAGATGTGTCGGCACGTTGTGTTTTATATACCAGTCTTGTTCTCTCCGTGTCTGATTACTGTGCGTCCGTAACGTTTTCTACTCAAAAAAGTTTAATCGATGATGTAGAAAGCGTGCAAAAGAGGTTTGTTAAATCACTACAGCTTAAAAGCGGCAGCAACCACTACATTGACAGACTGAAAGAACTATCATGGGAACCGATTGTACGGCGGAATCTGAAGCGTAGCCTACGGCTGACCTATAAATTTGTCTACAACCTAATTCCTTATGGCCACAAATTGTTTTGTAAAGATACTGCTGTGCGTTCTGGTGTTGCAGGTGGAACGCGTCACCAAAGGAGGATGGCTAAACACCCCTGCCGGATTATAGCCACTGGATCAACATTTTGCGGTCACAAACTGCCACCCTCGGACAGATCATTCACATATCGGATGGCAAGGATTTGGAACGATCTGCGGATTCCAGCTGAAGCTTATCAAAGCCTCGGTAGATTTGCGACAGCTTTAAATGATGTCGACTGGAAGTGCGTACCATCACTAAAAAAGTTTTACCATGCTGACCATGTGTCTTTAATCCAAATGTAGAAGTGAACTTTTCTTTTCCTGTTCTTTCTGTTGTGGCTATTTGTGCTTTACTTCTGTCTGCTTATGACGAGTCTGCTGCCTCGAATTGGGTTTTGACCCAGATTGTGTGCGGACGTTAAAGAACATTAAACATTAATTAGTTATCACTCGCCCAAGCGAAGAGCTGCTACGCTCCGGTCTTCCAATGCACGCCAACGTGCATTTTTCTAGTCGTATTGTATATGCAAAGTGCCAACGTATGATCGTGCAATTTCTCCAGTCTGACCAGCATTTAAAAAGACTACCAACAGCCGAATCGGTATACGTATGTATTTATATTCGGATATTGGTTACGGTTGGCCGGCGCAACCTACTGGCAGTATTCCACGCGACCGCACACCGGATGGCTGTTGACCGGGATGTCGTCTGGATAACTGTTTACCGGGACGTCGTCCACCTCGTCCCTAGCCGCCGCTTCCGCGGCCCGGCGGAAGGACTGCTGCAACTTGGGGTCGTGCTGGCGGCAGTGACTGACCGCGCGAAAGTACCGGACCGGCGCGATGGTGGTCGCGCAGAGACGGGCCATGGCGATTTTCTTCTCGGAGTCGTACCATCCACTGGGATTGTCAGGGAGGAATTCCGGGCAGCTGGCCAGCAGGTCACGGACGCAGTATCCGGTGTTGTTGGAGTATCTGCAAAGCACGCGCGTGTCCTATCAGGAAGCTGAGGAAACATTGCCATTGAATTATTATTATTATTATTACTATTATTATTGCCGAACAACAGCAGCCGAACTCACCAGTAACCAGGCTAGTGGAAACTGTTATTTGGTTATTTTGAAAATTGTATCCTTGTGTTTGACTGGATATCATGAGATGAAAGTTACCCAACTAAAGAATCGAAGCCAAGACACAATCTTAAATCCAGCCGTACTACCACCACAGGCCACGGACAGCTAGATTAACATAAGTAACAGAAAATACGGCCGATAAAAAAAGTAATGTTAACCAACCGGCAAAAGGCTTCGCCCACAGGCTGGTATTCTCGCAGGATCTCTGCGGTCAGCGGCCACGGGATGCTCAAACTCATTAAGCGATCCACGGTTAGATGCTCCTGCTTTTCGTACTCTTGACAATGGGCGGCTAGTTCCTCGCAGTCCAGACTACAGACGATGCGGGCACACAACGCCCAGGCCAACAACGTTATTTGTCTAAACATTTCACGATCTAGAGTTTACGCCTTTATGAGTATACCATAATATCCTGGCTGGCATAAGAATGGTTAGGTTGTTGAAAGTGTGCGGTTGAATTACGGGTGTCACGGTGAACGCATGCTCACCAGACTCTTTCCTTCTGCTCTGTAGGTACGCAGGTCTGAACCGTGTATGGTGGCAGGCTTGGCTACAGCCAGGCGATAAAAATGCTTGGCACAACCGGAAAAGAACTAATCATTCTTGAACATAATTCATTCCCAACCAGTTATCGATCGTCTAACGCAGCATTACTGTAGTATGCCACGATACAGTACGATGCTGTGCTATGTTAACAGTCAGGATATGCTCGATTTATTCGGCGGTAGGGTCAAAGGGACCGGTTTTGTGGCTTTTCGACTAGGACGAGGAATTTGGTTGACATTGATGCACTCGTTGTGCTGGAAAAATTGAGAACCTATTCGCAATTTTTATCCGTTGCGGTGCAATGATCACTCTGCATAATGTATATGCAGTTTCTCGTCGATTCTCGCCTCGATGCAGACCCTGTCTGCGATATGCTCGAGTTATACTCGTACTTTCTGCTGACACGATGGAAATTAACGAGACTGTTGACTGGACTTACTGCATGTTGAAAGTAATCATGCTGTAATCTTTCTGCTGCGTTTCGTTTCCTAACACATAGAATTTGGTCATGAACATTCCTGAACAAAAATACACAGGTGACCAAGGAAGTTTTACGGGAAAATGGTTATTCAGAAGAAAACGTCGGCATTCAACAAGTGTGCCACAAAGTCAGCCTTCACGCCGAAGTCGCCCGTCACTTGACCAAACATTTTTCACGCGTGCCACGAAATTAAACATGACAGACGATACAGTGCATAAATGAATTAACTAAACTGCTGGATTATTCACAATAATGGGAATTTATGACTTGAGCCGTCTTCGTACTGATATTTCGTGCAGTATGTGTTATAGGTGCTGCAAATTCAAGCACCATGATCTAAATGTCGCTAACTGTTTCGCATGGTTCGATTACACCAAAAGTTCAATTAGGCATTTTTTGTGTGTGGTTAAAACGTAATTATTTCCTTGTCCGACGCAGCTCGCCGCAGTTGTTCTCTGTGGCAATAGGCGCGTCGTTAGCATTCCGTGTGGTGACTGTTTTTATCGGCAAACGAGACTGCTGGTGCTGTTTAGGCAAATAGCACCAGCGGCGTTCAAGGTCCCACAGGCGTAAACATTAATACAGCAGCCGATGCAACCGTTGTACGGCACCGTACCGGCGCCAGCCGACCCAACCAAGTTGGACAATAATAAATAATGAAGAACAAATAAAAAATTATTAATACGAGTATTAGTAAAGTAAGTAATCATGTATTGTGATAATACTTCGCTGTTGTTACGCCGGCATGCGCACAGCGGTCATTTGGTAGGCGATTATGTTTATGAGCTTTATTGCTAAACGTGTTGGTGCATGTGATGCGTTGCATTACGGCTTGTTTAACTGTGTGTGTGTGTGCATGGATGAGCACGTTACGGCTTTGGCCAGAACGCTTGACAATGTAAGGGATTTGTTCTCATGTTTTCTTGTCATCGTGAAAGTTACCGAAACTTTCTAGAATTGTTGCAACACGTTTATATTAACCAGGGCCCCGTTACCGCATGTAAATTCAGAAAATTCTGATCTTTTGCAGAAAGACCTCCGGATCGCGTTCTTCCCCATACATCTTTATTATTTCAAATACTACACATTCAGATGTCAAACTTCTACTGCAAAAATGTTTTCGTTGCGGCATTATCATATTGCAAATATTAACAGAGCCATAAATCTGACAATGTACAGCCGCAAGGTGCATGCGACCTTTAGGTACATCCACAGCGTGGCACCGGCAATAGTCATGGCTGCCGCGTGCATGACGACTTCCGGTTGTCGTCGTCCAGACAACTGTGTTCACAACCTCTCACTCGCTTCCCAAGATTGTGCACACTGCACAATCCTTCGCTTGGTGCACTACTCGCGCGCGCACGACTTCTCTATCGTTTCATGTTGGCACATTTTACCTTCTACCATTATGGGCAGAAGTAAGAGAAATCTTTCTCTCCCATCTACAGTATAATTTCGCACCAAAGTTTAGCCGATTACATTGTAGCATTGCATCCAGATTTAACCACTAATCAAGGAAAGTGGATCGATACGCCGATGCCGGCACGGTGGCAGTCCAGCCCACATCGAACAAACTACAGCCGCTGCTATATTCGAGAAGCCCCTGTTTTACAACGCGGCCAGACAGCGTCGGTCTTTCTGTCTTTCTCAGAAATGCTATGGCGCGATACCAACTACGACACTATCGGTTTAGCACTCTATCTCAAACTGTTGGGAATATGGGGATGGCATAACTAGCTACGAAGTAGATCAGCAACAAGACTAGAACTGTTGGAACTCAGGAATTCCTCTGCAAACACGAGGAATATAAATTATAAGAAGGTGCATTTATACTTACCTATCTTCACGCTAGATGGTAGCAGAAGCGTCAGTAGAATCCATCAACCAGGCGATACTGGGCATGAAGAATGAAAAAGTGACGGTTTGTAAAATACGTAAACCTCCATACGGAGGTTAACGTATTTTAGAGGTTTTACTGTATATCAACATCTACAGTAATGATCGCACTCTAGCCTCTGTTCTAGAAATGAGTGCTATCGTTCGCTGCTTTAATTTGAATAGTTTGTACACGTAGTCACTGCTATGGTCTCCGACACGGAAACTAACTATCTGTATAGCTTCTCACGGGAAACATACCCAATTTTAATGGACAGCCCAATGCAATATCCTGTCGCACACAGACAGATGAAAAAAAGAGGTAAAGGTCACAGCGTGTGCCTTAATTAACGCGGGCCGTTGCTCATGCCGCCAGGTTGTTTGTGGAAATGTCTTGAAGAACTTGACGAAGACCGACCAGCACACCATGTTGACACCGGTGGTCACGTTCCTCCGGGCGCAGGTGATCGTAGCCACCTCCGGTGGGTGACAGGTTTCCGGCGCCCCTGGTGTCGTCCAGGGATCGTCGGAGGTCGCCTAGGTCGTCGAGGGTGCTTCTGAGATCGCCGGATTCACGCAGATTTACGTACGGCAGTCGCGGCAGTTGGCTCGGTCTTGGACCTCTAGACATTCTTACGACTACGCGTTACATGTCAGTGTTTACAAAGCAGGAGTTATGGGAGTTGTTTAGCAGTGGTTAGCGTCTGCGTTTCGGAGGTCTCCGTTGTTCAATGACCTTCACATGGTAACCAAATACTTCCGGTTGGAGATGCAGCTTCTACTTATGCGTCGTGCAGCCCGGCAGTTGTCAGAGGCACGCCGTCCACCAAGGTGGATGCCGTTATACAGTATAACGCCGTCCACCTGGCCAGCCGGGAGGGCAACTGAGGAATCGCCGTTCGCACGGTGTCAATGCCTTCACTTCACGCCTTATCTGTACAGAACGCCGTGTCGCCGCCCGGCACGTTGGCCGAGGTCGTATACAGGACATATTACGGCATCCGCGGATGAAATCCAGGACAGCAGCCGGACGGAAGCGGAAGGTGTCGCCGTACTGGTTGAACAACGATTTAATTGCCATCCCTTCGTGCTATACATACAGACGTAGTTAAGTACAGATACAATAAGAAAGCATCTCTCTCCGTTTTTGAACAACGGACATTCAGTATCGCTGATGCACATAAACAACTATTATTATCCTCACTATACCCTCACTATTTTATTAATATTGTCCTCACTATTTTGTGAGGGTATTATTCCGGTGCGCGACGTAATCCAGCGTTTGGTGTCAAGATACATATATCCAGATAAAATGAACAATAAAAGCTCGGCAAACTGCCGGTACGCAAAGCACTCACTGCTCAGAATAATGCTGTTCTCGGGAAGCTCGGAGATATGTATAAACGGTAGTGCGGTAAGCCATCGCGATCGCTGGCCAGCTGGTGAAGGGCGAGAGAATTCATTTGTACACTTGCCGATTTTCGTTAGCGTTACGAATACATATTTCTCCCATAGCCATAATATACGCACTTTCCCGGCATACGCTCTGCACTCTGCAGATTGTAGTCCACAACTGCCAGTAGCCAGTCTCGCCGTTGTCCGCTTGACTGCTCCACTGTTGTCCCTCTTTCCCAGTAACCCATAACGGCATAAATTAAAGGGTCCAGTTCACTTCCCTAACGGTTAGTTTAATCAGCGGAGCACACTCACTGGAACGTCTGTCCCTGGCAACCGGCTAGTTTTGTGGATCATACTCGTAAATGGATCGCAGGTTGCTCTGATTAACTGGCGGATCGAATAATGGAAGAGATTACGGAAAGGTAGGGCGTCCGCTTTTTTTACGGTGGAGGAAACAGTTTCGCCGGACGACCATTCTGTACTGCTGAGCTCATAACATTAACGCTCCACAGCGTGCCGGCCCTCTCAGACTCCGTATGCGGCAGTCTAGAGTAGGGAAAATTAGCGATCCGCGACAGATTGCTCGGATCTGCAGCCATTTTTAGCTCATTCCGTCTGAGTGGGTGTGAACCGGCTGACACGAATGCAAGACAGTGTATAATGTACTGTGCGATAACTCCCGTTGCGGTGGCAGTTGAGCTGTGTCTGTAATAGTGAAGACCGTCCAGACATCTTCTCGGAGAGCAGACTGAAAGTAATGGAGCAATCTTTGAACTTATCTCCTGTCTGTCCGATGTTTTTCAAGATTTTAATTAATAAAATTTACGTTTTTTAAACTTTATTAATTTGATTTGCAGTTGTAAGCCGGTTGTTACAAATTGATTAACCATTGTAGGCAATTTCAAATTTATTAGAGTGCGACAAATTACTAATGGAATCAGTGTACTTACCAATATGTTTTAATCATATAAACAAGACCACAGCAAAGCTGCCAAGAAAAACAACATCGGGTACAAATCATTCCCGATCAGCCAATCTAAAAGCTAAAAAAACATCTTCGCTGTCTCTCATGTCACTAAATGTTCCGAGGACAGACACTGCACTTCCACGTTGTATCTCAATACTGATTCTCTGACGCAAAAACTCTCCCGACCGAGGGTTACGACTACATTCGCAAATCTTTCTGGACAATGCCTTGAAAAATTTCTTTGTGCGCGGTCCGAAAGTTCCCGTAGTTTCAAATGCCAAGGGTTGCACTATGTATCGAT